ACAAGAATCACTTCAGTGACTTCTCTCTAGCATTCAGAATAATATTCATTTTTCAAGAGATTGAAAAAAAGCTCAAAATATTCATTCTTTAAGTAGGAATATATATTTTGAATAATCAAGTGATTAATTGAATCAGAACCTGCAGCAGTTTTAACAGAACTTGAGAAGATAGCTGACTCTAATTCATCTTGTATAAGATCAGATCATTCTCAGTCATTTTCATTAATGTAGTTGAGAAGTGATATATTCTCTTCCTCTGAATCTGAATCTGAATCTGATGAGTTCTGAAAGAGAATTCTTATAAAAGCTTAACATTTTTTCTCAAAAGAGTTTGCTGTATATAATTTATTCTGAAACTTATATTCTAAGACTGAAAGTTTTGCTACACTTCTTATTTTAGTATAGTTAAAAGCTTTAAAAACTTTCTTTTATTATACTTCTTCAAGAAATTTATTTCAGCAGTCTGTTTTAACTCTTTTAATATCTGAAAAATATTCATTTCTAACAGCTTTGAACTCTTCATCAGATATTACATCATTCTTTCAATCTCTTCTAGCAGTAGTTAATTCTTTTCTTTTAGATAAGATATTCTCATTTCATCAATATTTTAAATACTCAGAAGATTTTCTCTTTGAAATATTATCTCTAACACTTGTTAGAATAATAGATGTAATAAGCTTCACTCTATTCTTAAGTATTTCATTTGAGATATCTTAATCAGAATTTCAATATAGCTCATTCTGTCTTTCAGATTTTAACAGTTTTATACTTTCTTCAACTGCTTTTCAATCAGCTTTTTCAAAGTTATACTGATTAGAGAGAAGAGGATTTTCACTCATTTATTTTTCACTCAGTTCAATATCAAATTGAATAATCTCATGATCAGATTCTGATATCTCATTTAAATCAATAAATCAGTTTATAAGTCTTCTTTTCATTAGATTTTATGATATGAAGATTAGATCTATAATAGACTTCTGTTTCATATCTTTTCTAAAGAATGTTTGTTAATCAGACTTATCAATCAAATCTATTGAATGCTCAAAGATTCATTTAATCAGATTATCAGCTCTCACTGCTCTCTTACATTTTAAATTTCATCAGAGATGATGTGTATTGAAGTCTTCTGCAATTATAGAGTTTCTTGATGAAGTTATGTTCAGAAATTCTCTATCAATTGTTCAGATATTATTATATTTCTTCAATGACTTTTCATTATAGATATTTATAAGCTATATAGTATCAAACTCATTTTCTTTATCTATAATATCACTCACCAGAATATCAGAGTCAGATATAATATCAAATCTTAGATTAAATTAATATCTTGATCTCTTTCTTTCATAGATCACTACTCTTGACTTTATCTCAGATTTTTCAGGTAAAAAGCAGTAGTAGCTTGAATAAGAAATAATATATTATTACTCAGCATCAAAATTCAGCTTCTGAAGCAGTATAAAATCAACTTTTTATTCAAATGCAATTTGAAGATAAGAATAAATACAATTTGAGTTTCTATTCACATTATTTTGAATAAATGTGATTTTTAAAGAGTTTTTAAACTTTTTTTATTATTTTTATTGTATATTCATACTAAAAGAGAGTAGAGTAGAATTTAATCACTATTATCAGATAGTAGATTATAACTGTTCTGAAAAGTAGAAATCTCAACTGCTTGTATTATATTTAGTTTATTATCAGAGTTATTTCTCAATTCTCTAATCTTAACAGAAGTTTAAGAATTCAAATTCTGTTTACATTTAGCTGAAGAATTGAAGTTTGAAGATTTAGATAGTTGTGAGTTTCTTCTTTTTAAGCTTGTAGTTATGAGTTTACTGACTTAACTATTCTCTTCAGTTCTAGATTTACTCTGAGCTTCATCTTTTCTTCAGTTCTTTTGAGTTCTTGAAGTAAATATACATTCTTTTGAGCTAGATGTATGTTTTTCTTTGCAATTAGAGTATTTAAGCAGAGTGTGTTAACATATTTCATCTCTTTTTAAGCATGTTTCACATTTATACTCACTAGTTTTGTAATCTCTGACACAGAATACACATTTTGAGTCTCTGAAATAGAAGATTGTAAAGTATTCATATCTTTGATAGTTTGAACACTGTGTTTGAGCTTTGAGATTCATTCTTGAGTTTTTGTATTCATAAACTCTTATTTTCAAACCTGCTACTCTTACTTCAGAGATCTTTGACTGTTCAATTATCTTTATATATACTAGAACAGAGGCATTTCTTCTACTTTATCTGAACTCAATTGAATTTAGCTATACAGGCTCTTTTCTCAGTTGAATAGAGTTGTATTCTTCTAATTTATTTTTAAGAAGTAGCATTTCTTCTTCACAGTCAAAAATTTCAACTGAAATATTATAAAGAATGAATTTATCTCACTTTTCATCTCTCTCAGATAGAATTATTGTGTTTAGCAAAGATTCTACTGCTAATTTTCAGAGATTCTCATTCTGAATAAGGAATTCTGCACTGAATTCAGGCATTGTGATCAGAATGATGGAGTTTTTAAAGAAGAATGACTCAATTGAAGCTATAACTGATTTTTGAACTTCAATATCAGTCATTAACTGAGAAAAGAACTGCTGATTGATTTCATTTCTAATTCTGAAAATGAGGTTTGAGTTTAGCTTATTTCTCTGTAATATATTCTGATTTGAGACTTTGAGAATAAGTCTTCTATTTCTGAAGATTTGAAGATTTTTCTCTTTTTATATTTTTTTCTTCACTCTTCTATCACTAGAAGTATGAGCAGTATTCTTCTCAGTTTTCTCAGAATTTTAAGCAGATTTTGAGATAGCAGATTTAGAGATAGCAGATTTAGAGACAGCAGATTCAGCTACTTGAGTATATGTTTTCTTCTGATTTAAAGAAGAAGAAGAAGAAGAAGTAGAAAAGAAAGAAGAGTAAATTGAAAAGTCAGTGATTATATTAGAAATTTTCAAAGTTTTTTGAACTGTGTTTGAAATTTCAAGTTTGAACTTGATCACTTTCTATAGTTGTCTAGTCTGAGTATGAAGAATTAACAGAACTTCTTTATTCATCTCACTCAGACACTGCTTTTCAAGAATTTTACTTACTTTTTCAAGTTTCTGTATTTCAAGAACTTGTTGTTTCTCTATTTCTTCTTTCTTTCTTCTCTTCAGAATTTCAATCTCAGAAATAGCATTTGAGAAAGCATTTTTTTCCACATCAACTGAGTGTACTTTTGAACTCATTATTCTTACTCAATAAAAAGTTGATCAGACTAATTCAATTGAGATATTTATTAAACTCTTTTGAATTGAAAAGTTGATCAGACTATTTCAAAAGAAGAATAACAGACTTTTATATATAAAATATCTGATTTTTTTTCACACTAGTTCAGTAACTAGGTTAGATTTTTGAAGAGAATCTAATAAACTAAAATTGATTTTTGAGATAAATCAATAAAATCTTTACAATCTCTTTCTTGAGATACAGTGAGAAAGAGTATGATATCAATTAATAATGAATCAGATAATATAACAGTTTTTAAGAGAAAAACTGATAAAAAATAAATCAATTTTTTACAGAGAAATTAATTAGAACTATTCAATTTTATTCTAAATCATTCAATTCTTCTCACACAACAAGTATGCAACTCAAATCAGTTAATAAAGAGTGTAAAAAAGAATTAAGTATTAATAAAAGCTCTTCAGTCACTGAAAAAGTAATTCTTACTTAAAAGAATATGAAATTATAACAGAAAACAGCTCTGTTTTTTATTCTTTATAAGAATATTGTATAAAACTCAGAGAAAAACATCTTACTTTTTCAAGAGAAGTAAAAAACTATTTCTAAGATCTTTTTTTTGTATTAACTGCTGCAGAAGAATAAGATAGAAACTGCTAAGATATATACTACTATATACTCTCTATCAAGACTTTTTCTCTTCAGAGTCTTGATATTATAGAGAATATAAGTCTGTTTCTATATAATAATATAAATATTGTGTAACGTGGCGGAACCGAAGCAGTGACTAGTCAGTGGCATTATATAGAGGTAGTTGTTTTAAGAAGCTGTATGAGTGAGCTTGACTATCTTGCTTGAATAGTGAGCTCATAGGCTACAGAGTTATTACAAGGATATCACAGATATGATACTTAGTATACTAAGAAGATTGTATGAGACATGCAGTAACTCTTGTATATATTTCAGTAGAAGAAAAACAAATCACTGACTTCTTTGATGAGAAGTCAGTATCTAGCTATTCTATATAGACAATGAGTGAATACTCTTCTCTCATTTCATAAGCAAGAATAGCTGAAGCAATACCTCAGCAGTATCTTATTATCAAGAAAGAGTAATCTGCTGATCTTATATAAAAGCAGAGTTCTCATATTTATCAATTGAATCTTTCTATGATACATCTGAATGATATCATAGAGTGATTGGAAATCAGTTTGAACAGGATGAAATCATCTGCATGAAAGTGATGAGCTGTGTGAAATCATAACAGAGTCTTGACATGACTGAAAGCATGATAATGTTCTTCTCTTTAAGAGTATAGTTTCTATGTTCTTAAGATTACTGAATTAGAAATTATCTTTATTGTATAGCAACAGTTGTCAACTGATTGACAGTGCATGTGCTGTGTATGATATAAAGAAATAGATAAGTTCTTCTGCTGACTGTGTAGATCTTTCTTTTCTCATCTTCATTCAAATTAAACACATGATAAGTGAGTTTCTTATATATCAATTTGAAATATGAAAAATGTAGTTAATAAGTGACTTGCAGATCTTTCAATATATTTCATTCTATATATGAAATTCTCTGCAAAAGTAGTATGTTTTAGAGATAAAGTTAACAGTAGTGATAGGATTTTTTTTGAAAAGATTTCTTCTCTCTGTGACACATTTTTCTCTCTTCCTTCTCATCTGCAATAGTGAGTGCATGAGAGTATCATTCTTGAAGAACAGTAGAGGGCTTATTCTGATATTTTCTAGTGAGTAAACATCTTCATGATGCGGCAGCAGTCTCTGTGACTGTCAAGAAAGCCAGATTGAAGGCAGCAGTGTCAATGAGCTGCAGAAGCACTGCTCTCATTGTCACATCTTCTCCTGCTTCTCTTACAGCTGTGGTGATTCTGTTGGTCAGTGCATCTGCATTCAGTTCATCCCCTGCCCTCTCTGCCGCTGTTGCAACGCCGCCCCCCCCCCCAGCCAATACAGTGATGTATGACCCTGTGTGATCATTCAGAGAGAAACCTGAAGAGAGCTTGATTTCAGAGACAGTGGCTTTAAGAAGCTCAATCTGTAGTTTCTCTTCTGCACATCCGAGCCCTGCTCAGAATGCTGCTGAGTTAGGTCTGCAGAGTCTCACAGTTTCTTCATCTTCTCTCTGTGAGAAGGCTCTGATGCAGTCTCTGACTGACACTGCTATTTATCTGCACTGTGTCAAGCAGCTGAAGAAAGAGAGAATTTTATATACTTACTTCTTCTCTCACTTCTATTGTTTTCATTGTATCTGTAACAATAACTTCTGTCTCTCTGTAAGTATTATCTCATAGAAAGACATCATATCAGCTCTGATAAGAAGTCTAGATGTCTAAGCAGTACTAGACTGACCGTGTGACCGTGTCTGGGACCAGGATCAAACTTTACAGTTGTCATGTTGCCTAAAAGCATTACTTCTGATCATGGTTTGTGTTCATCACATTGATTTCAAATCACATTATTTCAAATATTAAAGGTCTCAGATTCACTTTTCAAACAAAAATCTAGTCTCAGATAAAGAATATGTTTGAATTCTTAGTCACATTTTCATTCTGATTTCATTATTGAGAATGGCATTAAATGAGATCATGAAATCACTTCTCACTTATATAATATTATAACATAGTACTCATTTGTTGAAAATTTAACAGAGAGTGTTATCAAATATCATTACTTTTCTGAACACAGATCATAATTCATATAATTTTAATTATGAAAAAAACATAAAATACAAAAAAAAATAAAAAACAAAAAACAAAACAAACATAAGAAAAAATCACATTAAAAAAAAAAAAAGAAAAGAAAAAGAAAAAAACAAAAAATAAAAACAAAAAAAATCAAGATTGCAGAGCTGCAGCATCTTTAAAATACTCACTTCTCAGAGTCTTTGCAATGTCTATTATCAACTGTGTATTTCTCACAGTGAGAGTAACACAGCTGCAATGAGTCATTATCTTAACATTATCTAATAAATAATCAGTATATATCTGTATAAATGTGAATAATTAGAAAATATACACTTAAAAAGTGTGGTCAGGATGAACTCTGCTGTCACTTGAATGACATCAAGGACAGAACACTGGAATTGATGATTTCTCTTATCAATTTCATGGACAAGGCACATGAAGGTGGTCTTGAGAAATATAAGATCTCTTAACTTCTGGTAAAAACAGATCTCACAGAGAGACTCTATTTTCATGATATCAGAGACTGAGTGTTATCAAAAAGCATTACTTTCATGCAATGCACATGCACTTACTACAGTGATTCATTCTCTGTGCATGTAGCTGAGGGTTGCAGCTTTTCTATGCTGCATGACTCTCTCTGAAATGCTGCTGTCAGTTTGCAACTCATGCAGTCTTCCAGTTCAGCACATGCTGCGTGTATACAGCTCTGTGTACTGAGGCTGTGTTGATCATTATGACCTGGTGTGATACTCACTTTTCGCGAGTCATATTTTATTTGAGAGAAGGGGGAAGATGTGACTATTGTTTTATTGAGAGAGGAATGAATAATTAGTATTATTGAATTAATTTGATTCATCTGCATTTAAAATTTGATTAGTTTATACTCTTCAATTTGAGGATTTCTATGAGTGTTTTAATAGTTTTCATACCAGCTTGGACTTAGTGATGGATTGAAGAAGAAGAGAAAAGAGAGAAGAAAGAAATGAGAATAACTTATCTTTATAATATGAAAACAGAGAATCACTGCAATCATTCTCTCTAGTAACAAAGATCTGTTTTCTGCATGTATCTCTGATATAGATTATATGATAAATGCATACAAAGAATATCAATAGTACATGCATTGAATGAAGATAATGTTGCTATGTAACACTGTAGCTGTTTCTGTATATCTCTGAAAGCTGTTAATAGTTTCTTTATCTCTTTATATTTGATAAGTCAATAATATATTCTGATGCACTTCTTCTTTCATCATCATCATCATCATCATCATCATCATCATCATTATTATCATTATTATCATCATCATCACTATCATTATTATCATCATCATTATCATCATCATCATTATCATTATCATCATCATCATCATCATTATTATATTATTGCCTGCCTTCACTCTCTTTTAACACTTATTAAAACTAATTATATCATCTCTCTTCAAATATTCTGCGGTTCTGCGGACCACCAAGGCGTGTGAGCGCTGTCACAGATTGAAGAAAGAGGAGAAGAAGGCATTCAAGCACAGAGAGACAGATTGCAAGATATGTTATAATGCTTTGAAGAGGCTCTGTAAGAGAGTAGAATGATAACAATTTTAAGTAACACTTCTGATAGATTTAGACTGAACTAAGTATAGAAATAATGCAGATGATGTCATCTGTGAGAGATTGAAAAAGAAGACAGTGAAGAGTCTTATACAGTAGTGATGAGACCAGGAGAAGTTCTGAGAATGATTTAAGACTAAGATGAAGAGAGAGAGAGAGAAGAAGAGTGTTACTGTAAATAAGTAATAACAGAAGAAGATTGAGAAGATATTGAAGTAAGAGATAAAGAAGTCAAAACTGGTAAGTTTTTTATTGAGAGATAATGATTTTTGATAATACTTCTGTTCTCTAATTGATTAGCAGAAGCTGACAGAGAAGAAGGGGATTGAGGCCTTGTTCAGATCTCAAATACACTTCATAATTCAGAATATTGAGAAGATAGCTCTACTCTCTGAGCATGTCAATCTGCTTACTGCTGAGGTGGAACCTGAGACAGCAGACCAGAAAATGTGGGATTTTGAGACATAGATTGACCTGGCTGAGAGAAAGCAGCAGAAACCCTTCTCTGAGAAGGCAGCAGAGAGAGATTTTAAGATGATTATTATCTCAGATAAGAAGAAGAAGAAGAAGAAGAAGAAAAAGAAGAAGAATGAGAAGTGAATTATAAAGAATAGTAAGAAGAATGAGAAAGAGAAGAAGTAGATTTTTTTCTTTTTATATTAGTTAGTTATAAGTTTAAGTTTTTAATTATTAATAATTAAAATTGATTTTGAGTTTTCAAAAATTATTGTACAAGTTGTAATCAAGTCAGAAATGATATATATATATATATATATTTAACTATCATGATTTATAAATCACTATAATGTATAAGTATCAACATTTTTTCAACATTGATATTCACAATATTAATATATTTTTAATAATATCATCTGATAACACAATTTAGTAACACTCTCTTTCATAATATTAATATATTTCAAGAAATATGACAGAGATTAATCAAGATTGTTTATTTACTTTTATACATCAATGATATTCAATCTGAGTTAGTACTAAAATTATAACTAAGCTAAGAAACAAGATTATTTTCTCTTATATTAATTCTTCTTACATACATCAGTGATCAGTTATTGAAAATAAATTATCATCTTTCTCAAATTATTATCATGTCTTCTGAATTCACTTCTTTCACTTCTTTTACTTCTATTGAAGATTCATAAACTCTTCAAGAAATCACTGTGAATTACAAAGTCTATATTATTTACAATTCAATACAGAATGCTCTCTTTCAATCATGATGAATGATCACTTCATTCTTCATATCTGATTCCAGGTCATGAAATTTATGAAAAACTCAACACAAATATCAAGATGAACTATGAAATAATTATCAACAGATTGCATTATAAATTACTGAAGAGTCATCTCTTTACTGCAATCACTGCAACTTCATTCAGAAATATTTATCATGAACTGATCATGACTCTGAAGAAATTTTCTGACATCTGAAGTCATCAGAATGCAGATAATAAAAGAAAAATAATTAGAAAATTACTACTGAGCTGATAAGTTGCTCTATCAGATAACAATTTTTGATAATACTAACTTTCTAATTTGAAGAAAATCATGTGAAAACAACTCTGTATCAGTACTCTGATTTCATAACTCTCATCTGATAACTTCTGTGAATAATTACTTTGCATATGTATATCTCTGAATCTTTCTCTTCAATCAATTGAAAACTCTGAATTCTGAACACTTCTTCAAATACTTAATTCAAATCTTCATATTTCACATTGATTCTGTCTTCAGTTCAACCTTGAGACACACTACAAAGTTAATATACAATATCTAGAATCAGAGTTGAAGAATCATTGAAGAGTGTCTCTTACAGTGAATGTATGAACTAGTACAAACAATCTTACATTTATAAGAGTTATATGTTATTACATTGATGAGAACTGAACTTATTAAGAGATATTAATTGAATTTGAATCATTGATCAGTAGTTATACTGGGGATTATATGGCAGAGATATTAATGACTGTGATTAAAAATGACTATTGAGATATTAGTTTCAGTCTTCTTATAATTACAACTGATAATGCTGTGAATAACTACACTATAGTGAAGAGCTTGAAGCAAAAATTGACTTTGCATTTCTGAAATGATAAACAAGGTCATATTCTCTGCATTGCTCATGTGGTTCAACTTGTAATATAAACACTGATAAAGAATCTTAATATTGAGATGAAGAATAATGAGATGACTGATTCTTAAGATGAGAATGAGATGAAAGTGATTACTCAAGTAACTTTTGCATTCACTTTGTAAAAGATAATGTTTTTTGATAATACTTTTTAATATTGCTTTTTAATAATGCTTTTTGATAATGCTACTGTTAATTTTGAATAGATTGACTAATAATTTAAATATCATAGATTTGAAACATTGCTAATGTAATTTGTATCTCTTCTAAACAATAATAATGATTTCATGATATTCAATAAACAAACAAATCAGTCACATCACTGAATATGATACAGAATGTTAGAATATAGTGAAGTTCAACATATGAAATAACTGTTCAGGCTCTTCAATTGTATCAGATGATTGATCATTGAGTGCAACACTCTGATTGAGAAAAGATTCAGATATTGAAACTTTCTGATATGAAGTGAACTCAGTTGAAATATGTGATTGATTTACTGTTTCAGTTTTATAAGACAATAAAGACAGTCTCAATCACTTGTATATCAATGCTGCAGTCAGCCTGATAAGTGTATAACAGTTTATTTACTTATCTTGAGAAGCAGTTGAATCACTCAAAAAGAAATTCAGTCTGGGATGATGCTATAGTGCAGGCTATTGTTACTGTAAGGAATAAACTAGCATATTACTACAGTAAAACAGAACAATCTTTTACAGAGTACTATACTATAGCAGCTCTACTAGATCTCTTCTGTTAAGTTAACATCTACACTTCTCAAGATTGAACAGAGGAGAAAC